GTTTTTTTTTTTTTTTTTAGGAATCTTATCTTCATCTCTCCTTGATATCCTTATTTGTTCTCGTCTTTCACTTTTTAAAGTTTTCTTTCTTTCCTTTGCTGCCAAAGGTAAACAGTAGCTTCTGTTTCTAGCAGAAACAGAGCCTTCTCTTACCTCACTGACTGCTACCTGCCTTCCTTCTCGGGTGTCACTTACAAACTCTTCCAGTCAAGCCTTTCTCTAATGTTCTTAGAATCATCTCTGAGTGCCACATTTGCTCGAATCACCCACTGAAAAGCTTTTAGTGCTTCTCATGCATTGTTGCTTTTATTTTTTACTTAGACTTAAGAATATATTAATGGCAGTACTTCTTTCTATTTCTTTTTTTTGGTACTATCTCATTTACCTGCACGTTAGGGAGTTGAATATTCCACAGGAGTTGGTGGTTTCACTTTCCATAATGTTTTTAAGGTTCACCCACATTGTAGTATGTATCAGTATGTCATTTTCTTAAATGGCCAAATAATATTTCATTGTATGGATATACCACCTTTGTTTATCCATTAATTGTTAGACATGTTGGTTGTTTCTGCTTTTTGGCTACTATGAATAATTGTACAAGTTTTTGTGTGGATGTTTCCATTTCTGTTGGGCATGTACCTAAGAATGGAATTGCTGGTTCATATGGTGACACCATGTTTGACATTTTGAGGAACTCCAGACTTTTCCAAAATAGCTTCACTGTTTTATGAGGGTTCCAGTTTCTCATTAATATTTATCTGTCTTTTTGATTATACCTATGCTACAGGATGTGAAATTATACCTTCTTGTAAATTGATTTGCATTTCTCTAATGACTAGTGATGTTGAATATCATTTTATGTGCTTATTGGTCATTTTTATATCTTCTTTGGAGAAAAGACTTCAAATCCTTTGCCCATTTTTTAATTGAGTTGTCTTTATTATTGAGTTATAAAAGTTCTTTGTATACTCTAGAAGACTCTTATTAGATACATGATTTGCAAATATTCTCTCCCATTCTGTGGGTTGAAACTACTTTTTATGTTTATTTTTATTTTTATTGTAACAATACAGGAATATAATTAAATAAATGAGGTAATAATAAAAGCTGATACTGGAAAACAGTATTCACTTGCCTCACTTCTCCCCATTCTCATTCCCTAGAGGCCACGTCTTTCAACCTTTTTAGAGACTTCTTTTGCTACAATGTTATAAACGCCCGGTGTATTAGCAGGAACCATCTGTTCATTTATATATTTCTGTATATAGACTTTAAGTTTTACATTTCAATTAAGGAGCAGTAATTGACCATGATTATGTATTTTTCCTATCTTCTATAGAGTTTCTCAGTATATTTTCATTATATATTTGGAAACAAGTAGATTTTCTAGCTTACTTTGGGTTCTCCATCACAAATTTGTATCCATTTAATTCTGTCAAAATGAGAAATAGGCTGGGCATGGTGGCTCACACCTGTAATCCTAGCGCTTTGGGAGGCTGAGGTGGGAGAATCACTTGAGGCCAAGAGTTGGAGACCAACCTGGGCAACATGGCAACATAGCAAGATCCTGTCTCTGCAAAAAATAGAAAAATTAGCTGGGTGTGTTGGCATGCCTATAATCCCAGCTACTTCGGGGTCTGAGGCAGGAGGATCATTTGAGCCCAGGAGTTTGAGGTTGCAGTGAACTATGATGATCCCACTGCACTGTAGTTCAGGTGACAGATTGAGACCCTGTTTCAAAGAAAAGAAAAAAGCTTCTTAAGTATTCTAAAGTATTATAGATAGTCCTCTTGCTGTTAATGCAGAGGCTTTCAAAATTTTTTGACCTAAACCCACCCACAATAAGAAACATTTTTGTCATCGCACGCCCCACACATATACAGGTATAACCAAAACACAAGTTTCACAAGCAATACTTATTTTATTATATGTGATCACTTTCTTATTTTCTTTTTGGGTCATTTTATTAAAAATATGCTAGTGGCAACCCAGTAAATTGATTTCACAAATATGTTGAGATGCACAGTTTAAAAAATGATATTTGAATGAAGGTTAATTTTAGTAAAGCTTTAAATAATAGTCTTCATTTTCTTTCAAGAGACATTAAGATTTTATATGAACGTTTTACAAATGTCCTTCGCATTTCATTTCAGGTTGGAAGAGTGGGGAGATTAGGTCAAAATGGAACAGCGATTACTTTCATCAATAATAATTCGAAAAGACTCTTCTGGGATATTGCAAAAAGGGTAAAACCCACAGGATCCATTCTTCCCCCCCAGTTACTCAATTCGCCTTACCTTCATGACCAGAAGAGAAAAGAACAACAAAAAGATAAACAGACACAGAAAGATCTGGTTACAGGAGCTAATCTTATGGACATTATTAGAAAACATGATAAAAGTAATTCTCAGAAATGATATCCTGTTATAATGTTATGCCACTTTGAATAATTTTTTTTATTGTATATAGTTGGCAAAATTTCTGTAAATTATTACTGTATAGTTGGAGTAGAAATGTACATAAAATCTTTAAGGTATGATTTTTAAAAATTAACATTTATACAGCAATAATGTATTTATTTCCCTTCTTAATTATCATAAATACAACATCAGAAAATGAATTGTCAAAATTTTTTCTCCTCTGGACA